AAATAATTTAAAATTCCTTTGACTTGGCTGCTACCTCCCAGAACACAGCTTCATTACTGAGCTCATTTATCCTCATCTACAGTTTCTCAGCTATACCCTTTCCTCTGTAAGTCACAGGCTATTCCTGCCTCTGCTGAATGTGTGCTGCAGACAGCTTCACAGCCCAGGGGCACTTCATCTATCCTGCTGATTCCCACAGGCCACTTAAATTCCCCAGAGTAGAAACTAATTTTTACACAGTAAGTATACTATAAATCTGTTTCAAGCAATTGATCCTAGCATGCCAACTCCACCAAGGTGAGACTTTACCTTCAGGTGTGTTGTGTGAAGGTGGTTATGTCCATTCTCCCTCAGAAATGTTATTTTCAGTGTACACACTATGTGCAGCAGCTGATTAGGGTGCAGAGCTATAGGTATGTTCCTTGTTGATGCACTCAAACTCCCTTAGCTCTGCCAGCACTGGGCAGTTATGATGCCAGGTTAGTTTTTGTGAGGTGGCAAAAAAGATCTCCCTGTGCATTGGGTTACTGGTTTATTCTGGCTGTGTCAAAGTACTAAATAGATTGAATTGCTATTTTCTCTTTCTGCATATGTATTTTGGCTGGTCTAGTGTAGCCTGCAGGCCTCCCTGGATAGATGTGCTGGTTTGTATCTAATGGCCTTATTCTGAAATTCTGATGAGGATAATCTATGCTGTATTGTGTAGGCCTTGTAGGAGCCATTTTATGCAAATACTGTAATGATTTCCCTGGAGTTCTAAAGCCTGTGTTCTTAAATTGCTCTGAGGTGTGTGTTAGACTCCTCAGGTGCCAATAAAACCCCTCTGCATTCTCTAAGAGACACCGAGGGGAATTCTGTACAGTAGCTCAAATGGAAACATGTCCCATGTGGACACCACCTCATCTTTAGCAAGGCTGCTAAGTGGAAGAAGCCCTGGTGGTTCAGCAGATATTCAGTATTAAACTCTCCAAGCCTCTGTTTGAAGACAAGAATTGAAGTAATTAGCTTGTATTGTTTGAAGAATGTTATGTTGCCTCTATTCATCTTGATTTTCATGGATTAAAGCACTGCATGGTGCCACTGAGAGGGCTCACAAAAAATTTCCTCAGTGCCTTGAGTTATACTTCTATGCATGGCTTGAATTGCCCCAGTTGCATCATCCAGTACAGCACAGAAACAATTGCATTTGAGAGCTTTCTCTTAGGATCTACAATTGATCAGCTCTTCTCTGTATTTTGAAAGGGGCTCAGCCTGTTAGACTATGTCAGATAATGTCTAGCATATGTCCATAGAAGCAAATCCCCCTCAAAATGCAGCACCTTGATAACATTGTCTTCTAGAAGGCAGGAGACAGCTTCTTCCATTGCTGGATGGCATTTCAGCCCATGCTCCTCAGCTGCTAGGCTGTTCCCCTGCCCACTGCAAAGCTTCACAGGGAAGTGTTCAAATCTTGCCCCTCACAGACAGGTAGCTCCTAGGACATTTAGGGGAGGGGAGAAGGTGCATGGCAGTTTGTACATTTTAACTGGTGACTGTTTAGTGGAAAATGATACAGCTTAGGATGCTTGGAGGATATTTTCATATCCTTAATTAGTTGTTTCTTGATGAGTTGAAATCCTGGTGTGGATTTGACAGTTGCCTAGAAAAAGCACCCAAACTGTCAGGTTCCATTTCTCCTACCCATTTGGCCTCAGCCATGGATGATTGAGTGGCTGTTTCCAATTGACTCTGCAGGTGCTGGCTGGGTCACTCACAGTTCTTACACAGAGTCCCCAGAAGAAGCTGCAGCTATGGGCTGAAAGCTGTGGCTTTCTGTCAGCAGGTGCGGCTCAGTGGAAGCTGCAAGTACATATGCAGCCTTTGCCCAAGTGCCTGAAGTGAGAACTGGTCTCAGGCAATCAGAAGTTGTGCTTGCTGCAATTTCCGACCTCTAACAGGTTATTATTTATTTACATCTCCTGCCAGAGTTAGCACATGACCTAGCACAGAGAAGTTCATCCCCCTTCAACAGAGAAAACCCCACTTATTTGACTAGGAAGAAAAAAAGCCATGTGAAATCTTGAACTCTAAAAACATCTGAAAAAGGGTTCTGCTGATTGAAACAATGGGTGGTAACAGCATCCAGTGAATTTATCGTTCCAGTGAGTGGTTTCCTGTGGAGAATTTCTCAGAAGAGCTGCAGTAGGTAGATTTTTCTGTGACTTCATATGCAGTTGGAAAACACCCACTTCATCTTGCTTCTGCTGTTTTATTTAAACTCAATTGGCTTAATCCCATGGCAGCCAGGTTCATTTGATGTTTCTCCATTAGCTAAGCACTGCCAGATGCTCCAGCACAATATGCTTTATGGCAAGGAATGAAAAACACAGAAGCAGATTGTTGTGTTGGTAGCATTCCCTGCCATTGCTCTTTTGCTCCTATTGAACATTGTGTTCTGTTGTGGAATAGTAATGAGGCACTGACAAGAGGTGACATGACAAGCAAGACTGAGGTAAGGGAAACCACATTGACTTCATCATTATCCTTGAGCTCCACAAACTGCCCTTTGTTGCTTGGTGGCCTGATGCTCACACATCTTCATTCTTTTTCTGGCTCTTCCTTGCCTTATTGATTCATTCTGGGTGAAGAAGCTGCTATAAAAAAAATAAAGGCAAACATCTCAGGACTACTTCCACATTGGGAAGTGCTATTTCAGTTGCTAGGGGATCTGCTTAAAAAATAAACCCAACTCTTAAAACCATAATTTCCATTTCAGGCAATCTTGCCTTATGCTGTACTGTTGTTTCAGCTAATTTTCCAAAGAATCATACCCTGGTTTAGTTGTTCTATCTATTAATATCTGTGAGGAAGTCTTTATTAAAAGTTTAAACTGCTTGAGAACTAAACTCGCATGCATGCATCACAAGGAGCCTAAACTGAGTAATTTTCTATGGCAATATGCCTAAGCTCTTGAAAAGGAAGAACGAGAAATGCTGCAAAATCTGAGGGGAATTGTAATGCTATTTGTGACTTTGGCTCAGGTCAAAGTAGTGTAGTGTAGGTGAAAATGTTTGAGTAGAACATATCAAATACAGACTTAAACTACAACAGTATTCTTGTGAAAAAGTGTCTGAAAATCAAATGGATGAGCAAATTTTCTATAAATGAGTCTCAAGCATATGTGGAGAGGTTATCCACTTATGGGCTCAGGCAATAGGTCTAACAATGGAAATTGGGGAATTTGAATGGAGATAAAAAATTGTTAATAAAGTAATTGTCCCCAGATTAAAAATTTCAAAAATACAGATCATATAGCTGTGTCTAAGGTTAAGTGGAATGCAGCATTGGTAAGAACTGAAATAGAAGTCCTTGGAGTGTATTAGGTAAAGAACAGTCTAGGCTTGCAAGTAATTTTAGCAGCTAAATGGCTCTGCTCATTCTCTGATATCTAATGATAATGTCTCCAATTTCACACATTGATTTTTAAACAATGCGTGTCAAAATGAAGTGAGTTCTGTAGTCAAATTAGCACAGTCACAGGTTTGCTGCCTTCTCCACACCTCATTGGAAACACCACACTGTTGGAGCAAGCTAATTCCTTTATGCTCAAGGTGACTTGGAGCGGGGCTTGGAGCATCCTGCCCAGGCCATATGCAGGAAAAACCAGCTGGTTGTCAGCAGTAACGGCTGTAATAGAGCACAGCCCATCCTCTAGAAACTGTTCCATTCTCCCTGAAAACTTCTTGAAACCTCTAAGCTCTACATTACCTTGCCAATAAGAGACTTTTCACCAGATCATCATCTTAGTGGACTCCAGACAAACAGCCTTTGAGTTTTTGCACTGTTTAGTATTAAATCAAGTGTGGTTTTAGTCAGAAAGAGGGTGAGAGGAAGAGCAGAGGAATTTAGTATTGGTGAAAGGTGCAGTATGGACAACCCTCGAACCACTAATTCATGTAAGTTGTGGGACAAGGTCTGTGGGGTGGACTTTCCTCTCTGTCTCTCTTGCTCCATGGGAAACAACACAAGGAGGGAAGGAGAATTAGGTAATATGACTCCTGAAATTGCTAGGGACCTTAGGGTCTAGGATGCCAATGTAGGGTCCTATACCCAGGCAGTAAATTTACTAACGAGGGGCTCTTGAGGCATGCCTGCCCCCGCTGTCTCTTCTGTGCCTGGTAAGGGAATATAGTAAAGTAAAAAGGGAAACATACTTTATGTGGTCTAAGCCAGATACAGCTATTAAAATCTGGCACCTCTATGTCTGCGTGGTTGAATGCTACAGAAGAGAGGATCTGCAGTATGAAACAAGTTGTTTCATCGTGCTGAATTTGATATGACCTCGGAAAACAGTATCTGTGCTAGCAGAGTGAAATCCAAATCAGTGCCAGGACCATCTATGATGGAACAGAGATACTTACAACCTAGGCTGGTTTTTTTTTTTTTTTTTCGCTTTTCCCCTCATATTAGGAAATACCGTGTGAGGAGAAATTAGAGGGTGGTATGGTAGGATAGGAAAAGGACCCTCAGATACTGTAATTTGACTGAACTTACTGTGTCAGCCCAAGGAAAGAAAGGGAGCAACAAGAACAGCTTCTCAGGCATCTCCATCTACCTAGTCATACTCAGCTTCTGGGCTCCTCAAGGTCTGGCCAGCAACAGCTTAAATATTTTTCCAGACTTTTTGAGCTACTTGCTAAAGTCATTGTCTGGCTTGAGAAGCAGCAGCAGGCCTGTTCTTTTGCCCGTGGACTGCCCAGAGAACAGTCACCAAAGCCACTGAGGGCCATGGTCTCTGTTATGATGCTGCCAAGGCCTGTGGCTGGCGGGGGTCCCTGTGTGTGTTGGGCAGCTGTGTGGACATTGGCAATTACAGCTCTTTCTGACTGCAGGAGATGCTCCTGTCTGTCCTGAGCAGCGGGGAGTTCTCCCTGTTGAGGTGGTGGTGTGGATGGGGATGGCATTCCCTCTACACTTGTCTTGGTACTATTAACCATGCTCCTTTTTGGTTTACTCCACAGATATTATGTGGGAAAGAGATCCCCCGCTGGGTGAACCGCCTGGCCTACTTCAGCTCGTGCATCCCCTTCCTCCAGAGCTGCCTCCCCAAGGAATGGCTGACCCCAGCGGCCCTGCAGAGCCACATCAGCCTTGGCCTCCACAAGGAGGAACAAGGGGACACAACGGACGAGGAGTCCCCCTCCACCTCTGCAGCCCCCTCAGCCTCAGGCACATCACGAACCTGTAGACACACACGGGTTTAACTGCCCCGTTTGCCCCCAGACGACATCCCTGCTCTCTTGTTCTATTTATTTCTCATGCCCTTTCGCAAACATTGGTTTGCCTCTTCAACAGACAACACGGGAAGACCCTTTCTGCTTCAGTCCCTTTTCCCAGGACTGCCACTACAGTTGCTTGGCAAAATGACTGTGAACCCCAACACACAACTGAGGATTGTGGTGACTAAACTGTATTTTCCTCCAGGGGCCTCCATGATCCTTGATCTACAGAGAACTGCTGACACTCTCAGGCAAGAGAGGATGTGTATGGGCAGAATGCACATACTGTGATGTTCCTTCTCTGGAACTGTTTTATCTTTTTATCTCTCCCTCTACCCATTTAAGCCCAGCAGTCTCTTCTCTGTTTTGGCTGGGTTTTCCCATCCCCAATGACAGATCACCTGCCCACACCCAGTGAAGGAACCAGAGCCAGAACTCAACCTTCTCATCTCTTAGACCAGCAACAAACTCCACTCAGATCCACCCCTTTTGTAATTATCAGGTTTCTAACTCATGTGAAGGACAAATGAAAGGTGCTCCTGTCTAAAACCACCTGTTTTCAGTACTCAAATTTAAGAGCTTGAATGATTGTCCTGCTCTTGAAAATAATAACAAAGAACCTAGAAAATGAATGTGTTACTGTGGCTTTTCTTTGGGGTCAAAAAGAACATGGGGCTGTGGTGATTAGAGGCAGCTACTAAGTACATGCAGACATGACTTGACCATACTGGTGCTTTTTGGCACAGACCCCTCTCAGTTTTCCTAATCCTAGGCAGTGTTCCTGGTTTCCTTTTCTCCCCAGATTCCTTGGGGAATCTCTCTCCTAGCTGACATTTGCTGGCTGTATTTGGGGAAATGGTCTTCCTGAGCACAAGGAAGAAGAGAGTGAATGTGTTTGGAAGGTCAGTATTTCCTTCAGATTTTTCTCCTACACTCACAAACATAAAACATGGCTTCAGAGCCATCCTTCCCTGGCCTATTTTTGAGCCAACTCAAGAAGGTAAAAAAGAGTGAACCCAAAGAATATCAACCTGTTCCTTTCTCCTCCCTTTTTGGAGGTAGAGGGGGAAACTTAGGGCCACATATGGAAAGCACAGCTGACCCTTCCAATGCATGGGCCACCATGATGCCTTCCACTGTGTGCGCTATTTTGGTGAACTGAAAAATGGGTACGGCTGGCTCACTGGCCTCTCCAAGCTGGCTCCTGACAAGAATCTGGTCCTTGGATATATTTATGCTAATTCTGACAGCTGATGAGAAAACACAGAACAAGAAAAGGACAAGTACACTAACTCCTCCACTCAATTACCTCACTAGGAATTCTACTCAGAAGGTGTAGGAAGGAATCAAAGGGAAAATCCAGGCCCCCTCTCTTCTTTGCAACTTCTCTGGGCTACACAAAGGAGGATGAAAAAGGAACAGGCAGTGTGTTGAGAGGGAGTTGCCATTTCAGAAATGGTGATCTCAACAGCAGTCAGGACATCCACCCTGCACCCGGAGAGAACTACAAGCCCTTAAGATGGTGGTAGTTTCCTTTTTTTGGTCACAAACACATGCTAAGTCCAACCAGCTGTTTCTTTAGCTCAGGTATACAGCAGTGTGTGCTTTCAAGGCTGAAGGTCTCAGCTGTGATGTACATTATGGCTGCACAGACAATGTTTAATGGTTTGTTACATGTGCATGCCCTTAGTGAAGCAGGAAGCTCTGGAGAGATCTACTGGATGACATGTAACTCACGGGATGGCCTCGCTCGGCTGCCTCCTGAAGTGATGCAATTTAGGCAACAAAACCTTTACGACAAGCCTCTTTTTCATCCTCCATACAAACTGTTGCAAGTTCTGTCCTGAACTGAAGTCATGTTCCTTATTAACCTTGGCTACCCACAGCCAGTGCTGCATTGTGAGCAATTCTGTAGCTCCTGGTAACCAGTCCAATACCAGTCTTGATTAGTATGGCTTGTCCAGGGATGTTTAATAAGATTTCCATCATGATCTCCACACCACTGCCCAGAAACCATATTGCACAATGTAGTGTTTCACTCTGTATTCCCTGCAGTTGTGGTCATTGCAGCCTAAACGGCTGCAGGATTGCAAGCTTTATTTGTCTGAAGTTCCCAGGGTTTCTGCCAACAGCCAGCAGCACATTATGTGCAATGAATTTTAAAGGTCCTTCTCAGGGGGAAAGTGAGAAGAGGCTTTCCCAGAGCATTCGTCTAGGCCAGGGAAACTGCAGCCAGAAACATCTCATTCCCTTTGTTGTGACAAAAGCCAGCCAGCCATCCACCTCGTGTTTCTGCTCTGCACCTGATCTTCAGATGAAGCATCATGCACACATCTAGGTGATGGGCTCCAGAGACAGATTTCACACAGAAAACCCTCTCACAGTACTTTACATAGTAAAAAATGCTTAACTGGCTCTATGGTAACCTGGACAAGAAAACCACATCTGGCCTACTTGGGAACATAAATATGTGCTTGAAGTATTGGGAACAACATTTGGGGCAAGCTGTGAATGTCATAAAACCCCCAGATGTTTGTTTAACCACTTTTACGTTAGGCTATTTGTTTATGGTAGTAGGGGTCACATCAAGGAGGCATCAAACCTCTGCTGTAAATCAAACCCAGAATATATTCCAATCTTAAAAACTGTTTCTCCCTACCCCTCTCTGTTCAAGGTGACTGATCAACCAACAATGAAAAGAACAAAGTGACACTGTGGAAACAAAATATATATTGATGATGGCTTTACCTCTGTAATTTAACAGCATTTTAGATTATTAAACATTAAGACATTTTAAAATCCTAATTTACTGTTCATCTCTGGTACAGCATGTTTGTCTTAGGCATTTTTATTATCCTTCCAATTATTACAAAATTGCTGTTATTACATAATTATATAATATTTGTATTTGGTTACACATTCTCTTGCTGATTTCTCTGCATAACACCATGTGGGAAATTTTAAATACCAACAGCAGTTATCAATGAAAACAAAAGAACACCATATGAATCTTAACAAGAGCACCCAATAGCAGTGGAACAAACTCTTAACCCTTCTTCTTACAGCCAGGACTTTTGGTGTCCTTTCAAAAGCCAGGATGAGAGGGCACCAATTCTGCACATGGGCATCAGCAGCTGTGGGTTATGTCTCTAGCAGTGACCTAACAGTATCCAGGTGGGACAATAAGACTGGAGGTGAGGTTAGCCTAACACTGGAATATTAGTGGTACAAAACAAACTGTTTCTAGGGAAGATATAAGTGGGGGGGAGTAAGTGATAAACTCTTTTCTCAGCATGTCTTTATCTATAGTAGCAACTTCCTTAATTTCACGACATTGTTCTTTCTGATTTCTTTTTAGTCAGTTGCCTTCCTCTTCACAAGTCTGTGAATTGAGGCCTGTTTTTCTCAAACTCTTTAAAAGGGATAGTTGGATGTGCTGGTTTCCTAGCACTGAGCCTGTGCACTGTGATGAGTTCATCCCAGGCTCAGCACAGCATGGGAATGGACACAGACAGACCTGTTCTCTTGCTCTCACTGCTTCCAGCTGAGAGTCTGCATCTCTGGAATCCAGATCCATGTTATCTTTATGTTACTGAGGTACTAAAGAAACAGTAATTTCCTGCTATATAATTTTTTTATTCTTCAGTTCTGTTCTTTCTCTCTAGACTTGTAGGGCTCTCAGAACAAGTTAGTGGACACTGGATTGCAATATTACCTCATCTTATTATATGTGTTTGATTTTATTCTCATTTTAGTTTGTATATATGTGTATCTGGCCAGAAAACTTTATTAAGTACCTCCACTACTTCCTTGATTATTGGAGAAGACCAAAGGAAGGGATCATCGGTGTTTCATTTTCAAATGTTTTTAAATTACTGTTTGAGACAGCAGGTGCCTTGTTCCCCTTTGTCCCTGCCCTGCATGCCCTCAGCAATGACTTGGAATGTGAAAAGGCTGTGTAGTGATTCAGAAGTAAGTAAAAGAGGACCTGACATTCTCCCAACTCCACTCTGCGATTGTCGCAGGCTACCAGAAAACAGGGCAGAACCTCTGGGCACAATAATATATAAAAACATTGCAGCCTACGCCTGGAGAATGGGTGCTGTCTGTAACAGCTGGGCACTCCAACACCTGCGTGCGGCTGTAGCTGAGACGCGTTGGGGTGATGGCACAGCAGATTTCATTCCTAGCAGGTAGGAAGGACTATTGGCTCTAAATATCAGAGTAAGGCTGTTCGCTAGCACTGTTGTAGCCAACTTCGTTTTGAAAAGGTTTTTTTCGTTCATTTCGACTGGGACAAGGAATAACAATGCAGAAAAACAGATGATCACGATCGGCAATCTTCTTTCCTTAGGAAAGCAGGCTACAGACTGAAAAGATGCAGCTCATAACCAGGCCTGCTCAACTGTGCTCAGCACCGAGCTGTGAAGGACAGCGAGAGGGGCGGTGTGTGCGGGGATGTCAGTGTCGGGGCCATGTGTGCAGGGAAGGGGGCCGAGCCGTGCCCCATGCCCAGCCGTGCCCCATGCCGAGCCGTGCCCCATGCCCAGCCGTGCCCCATGCCGAGCCGTGCCCCATGCCCAGCCGTGCCCCATGCCCAGCCGTGCCCCATGCTCAGCCGTGCCTGATGCCGATCCGTGCCCCATGCCGAGCCGTGCCCCATGCCCAGCGGTGCCCCATGCCCAGCCGTGCCCCATGCCGAGCCGTGCCCCATGCTCAGCCGTGCCCCATGCCGAGCCGTGCCCCATGCCCAGCGGCGCTGCCGCGGCTCCCCCGCCCCGGGCCGCAGCGGAACCGGCGTGTCGGGGCGCGGTGCCGGCGGAGGGGCCCCAGTGCCGGCCGAGCCGCGTCCCGCCGGAAGCGGCGGGGCCGGGCCGGAGGAGGGAGGGCGGCGCCGGGCCGTGGGGCGGGAGTGGGGGATGGAGAAGCTGCGGAGGCTGTGGAGGGGCCGCACGATGACCTTCGGGGTGCCCCTGCTGGTGAGCGGCGCGGCGGAGCGCGGGGAGGCGGCGGGCGGAGCTCCGCGGGCAGGAGGCGGGGGCGGGTGGGAGCTCTGCTGTCTCCTCCTCGGCAGCGGCTGTGCGGGGCCGGGGGCCGGGAGGGAGCCGTGTGCCCGCGGTGCCCGGAGCCTTCGGAGCTCAGGGACAGGGTTGTAAAACATACTCCTAAAGGTATTCCTGACTGCAAGCTGAGGAAAATGCATTTAGCTGGTGGTTTGGTTTTGTTTTGTGTTTGGGTTTTTTTTCCTGTGAAACACCACTTGTGTTTCTTGTCTTACTTTCTTCAGCTTTTAATTGGATTTTAAATTGTGGCGGCACTGCTGGTATGATAATTTGTACAT